CAAACCATAAAGAGTGAGTCCTATATAAAATGGGGGAAGAAGGTTTAAAACGGAGGATACAGCAAGGCAAAAACAGCAAGTATGAGAAAACAACAGGCACTTCCAGGAACATCAGGTAAAACTGGACGTGGGATTCAAGTCAAAGGAGCTAAAACAATACACCCTGGAAAGTGGTATGATCATTTCTGCATCTGCTCCAGAGAAACCTGCCAAAGTATGATTAGCATAATACCCAAGAGAACATCACATGCCCCTGAGTATGAAAATACAAGAGGGAATTATTTCTAATAGTTCTTAAGCTCAGCAACAACAGAGTAGACACAAAAGCCACAAAGTGTGCGTAAGCTTTATTTTAATGCTACAAGGATATTACATATAATCAGCCTGTGAAGTGTTCAGGTGGTTTGCAAAGGATAACCTTCATGTTTTGGAGAGGACAGATCAGACAGCTTTTTATGAAGTTTAAAAGAAATCACAGAGGCATAAAAAGATACGGGAGAAAAAAGAAAAAGGGAAAGTACATTGAGGACCGTCCATTCCAACTGTGAACTCAACAGGGAATGCCAGTAGATTCAAAACAGCCCTTGGTGTTCAGATTACTTGAGCTATTTTATTAAAATATCCACAAACAGGGCAGCGCCTGTGGCTCAGTGGGTATGGCCGCCAGCCCCCTATACCAAGGGTGATGGGTTCGAATCTGGCCCCAGCCAAACTGCAACAGAAAATAGCCAGGCGTCGTGGCGGGCGCCTGTACTCCCAGCTACTTGGGAAGCGGAGGTAAGAGAATCACCTAAGCCCAGGAGTTGGAGGTTGCTGTGAGCTGTGATGTCATGGCACTCTACTGAGGGCGATACAGTGAGACTCTATCTCTACAAGGAAAATAGAATAAAATAAAATAAAATATCCATAAACACAAAACCATTCTAACTCATTTTCTCCCCACTGGTTGGCCTTAACCCCAAAATACGAACAGTCAGTGATTCGGTAATTTATTTTCATGCTTTGTTTCTATGTTAAAATACTATGGCTGAGTACCCCTCCTTTAGCTTCTGCTAAAGACTTTACACAACGAAAGTGAACTAGAATATTAACAGTTACTGCTCCAAAAAGAAGATGAAACGCAGTTCCTTGATTGGACTGTATTAGTTTTCTCTCAAAGAATTTTTTTCCTTCCTTTGTGCAGAAAAGTTTTTCTTTTTCTTTTTTCTTTTTTATTTTCTTGAGACAGAGTCTCACTTTGTCTCCCTTGGTAGAGAGCTTTGGCATCATAGCTCACAGCAACCTCAAACTCCTGGGCTTAAGCGATTCTCTTGCCTCAGCCTCCCGAGTAGCTGGGACTACAGGCACCCTCCACAATGCCCGGCTATTTTTAGAGACGAGGTCTTGTTCTGGCTCAGGCTGGTCTCAAACCTGTGAGCTCAGGCAATCCACCCACCTTGGCCTCCGAAATGCTGGGATTACAGGAATGAGCCACTGTGCCCGGCTGAAAAAAGTTTCTTTCTATGTCACACAAGATGAGTCATTTTTGCAGTTCTAATTCCCTCCACATGAGTCCTAAAATAATACTAAAATACACTAACAGTGACTACAGTACCTTTGCAGGAAAAGAACTAGAATTTAGCTATTTAAATATAAACACTATGGAAGTCACCAACCCAGAACTGAGAAAAATTACAAAGTTTCTTCTCCAGTATTAAAGTGCATGCGGACAGAAGGGAAAGCCCAATGATGTCCAGGGTGCGCGACACCAGGAAGAAGTGAGAGGAGTACAGACACAGCCTCCACACGATGACACGATGCTCAACTTGGACAGCCAGTCAGCCAGTGAACACGTGTGGCATTATTATGTGCCAGGTCCTGTTCTTAGGTGTTTGGGATACATCAGTAAACAAAAACAAAGATCCTATCTTTCATTCTGGAGAAAGGAAGAGGGAGAATCTGAAAAAGACAGACAACAATAGACATAATGAAGCAAATTACATAGTACAAATTATATAGTAAGAAGACAGAAGTTACAGAAAAAGAAAACAAAAAGTAGACCAGGGTCAGTAATTAAGGGGGTTGGAAGAACAGTTACAATTTTAAATAGGGTGGCCAGGGCAGGCCTCAATTAGAAGTGCAGATACATGAAATGTGGTGGGAAGCAGCCATTTGGGAGTTGTACAATATTTTAACAAGGTATTTTGCTTCTTGCTGACTTGGTTTCCCCATTTTTAGACCAAAATAATAAATGTTTTCAAGGGTGCTATTAACATTGAGGTGGTGACTATAACTTTAAGTAGCATTTTAGTCTCTTGACAAGTGTGGGGAATAATTAAAGAAGGGTTAGGAGATGGTATTGCATTATGAAAGAGGCTTTTAAAAGAAAACCATTTCCAGGCACTATTTTCCTACATGAAAATAAAGTGAACACTTCCCAAAATCCAGCTGGGACTTAAGAACAATGAGCATGAAATCTAACAAATTGTTTAAATACTTATTTATTCAGTGTTACTGCAGCATCTATTGTTTTCGATTCTTTTTTAATTTCTTTCTATACATTCATCCAAAGCTGAAGTCATCTGTTTTAGATCATGAGACCCTGCGAGGCAAGAACTAGACTACTTATTTTAAATATATGCACAATGATATACAGATAGATATATAACAAATATATTTGGTTATAATTAGAAGTATCTCATTTCTCTTATAATTCAACATATTTTTTAACCCAAATAGCTCAAAATATTTAACAAAAAGTTTCCTATGTCTGCAACACATCTTCAGGAAGCAGATGGGTGGTGCAGTGTAGTAAGTAAGATGCATAAAATATATTTAGGCTTGGTGACCTGCCTGGGTTTCAGGACCCAGCCTAACCACATCATCTGTGCAATACTGGGGAAATCACTTAACATCCTCAAACTCCAGTTTCTTCATGTGGGAAAACTCAGAAAATAGTATCTGTCCCCAAAGTTTTTATGTAACTGAGCTAAAAGGCAGGGAAGTACCTGGCATAGTACCTGACTCACCAAAAAATTAGTTTTCTCTTTGCCAAATCTTCTGCCCACTTGCACCCTTTATCCTAACACACACATACACCCTTCAGTGAGTAAATAAAGTCTCGCTTACGCTACCACCAGAGTGTAAGAGACAGCCAAGATCTCCTTACTCCATCCCACTAGCCCTGGCAGCCTCTCCACTGTGGAATCTCTGGTTATTTCCTTTCTCAAGGAGGAGATACTATTGTTTGACAGATCCTTTCCGGGACACAGTCTCAGAATTCCCTACGGTTCTTATCGTGGCTAATGGATAACAATGCAGAGACTATGGGAGTGAATAATCACTCTCCCCAGCTAAAAACTTCCTTTATTGGCTTCTCTAATTTCCCATCAATTTTCTTGCTGCCAAACCAACGTCTTGTTGTAGATAACTATTAATATTAAAGTAATTTTCTTAAAACTGAAAAATTATTTAGCTTTCAACAATCAAGTACACCTTAATTAGCCAATTAGATTCAAAATATTAGACTACTAGAATATTTGCAATATTAAATTGTTTACATTTCTACTTCTTTCTTTAATCCTTACAATGCAAACAAAGAGGTAAAGAAATCTGTATTTCAGTTATTCTACTTCAAGATAATGTGGGTGACAGTGATATCAGTTAATAAACATTTACTTAGTATCTAGAATGATAGCATTTTCTATTCTTTATTAAAAGAGAAACTAAAAGTAATACAATTAAATAGCTTGTTCTTGTATCTTAGTTAAAATGCTATCAAGTTCTCTTTTTGACCATGGCAGCGTCTTATATTGCTGCACCCCAGGCACACAACACTACACCTAGAACTTTCAATAAACTTTTACTGAATGAAATTAATAAATCACCATTTACTGGTTTTATACTGGGGACCAAACTATGATCTTTAATCCCCACAAGATAAAGCAGATGATCCCATTCTGTGTGAACCGTATCTACACCACCAGAATCTAAGAGCCCCACCCTGAAAGAGGGGCTAGAACCACTTCTTTTTGAGGCAATTCTGCTAACTTAGCACATCATTCCCCCCTACAGTTTTCCTTCTTTTGTTTCTGTACTAAGGATATTTGTATAAACACAGGATCTTTGTTGCTTAGTAATTCATCTGCTCCAGCTGCTCATGTTCTGCTCCCAATCAAAATTCTTGGTTTTCAGCCTCCTCATCATTTCATAAGGAGTTAAGGGAGCTGGCCAGGCTCACTCCTTTCTCCATCTCTGTGGAACACCTGGTCTCAAGCACCCAGACGCTGCTTGTCCTTTTGCTTCTATCTTGGGGTTGGTGTGTGTGCTCTGGGGGACTCTCACCAGTGAAGAGTGTGACAAAGCATTGTGTCACATAGTCTCTCATACAGAATCTCATCAAAAGTGCTCACTGATTCACATAGGATCTCCTCCTCAGTCTCAAAACTCTCTAGCTCAGGTTAGGGCAGGGTTACCCCAAAGTCAGACACAGTACGCAGGAAAGGGTTCTGGAGGCCAGTAGCCCAAGGAAAATCACGAAAGGGTAGTTAGATTCATTTAGATGAACAAGAAAAAAATGAATTATACCATTAGAGGCAAAAGCATAGAGGAAAGCTGATCATCTATTTTTAGTGTCAGTTCCGTTAAAAGCCCTTTATTAATCATGCATCCATATTTTCCAATGTCCAATCTCATTGTGTTCTTTTCCATTCCAGATTTTCCTGCCCCTTTCCCAGAGCTCTGTTCCTCTTACTTCTCACTGCATCTCCAAAAGGGACAATAAACAATTTTCTAGCCACTCATCATCATAAACCTTGACAACTTAAATTACCCCCTGCTCAGTTTATGGACCACAATGGGCCCATAAAAATCCTCCCTCACCCGCAACCCACCCCACACAAAATTCTCACTTCCCTTTTTTCCTGCTCTGGGAAGTGTCCTAAAGGAGCCACTGAGCAGCACTTCCCACCTTCCTCCTGCTGGGAGTTTGTCCCCAGTCCCAGGACTCGGGAACTCCTTACCTGGAAGGCAGTTGCATTCAAAAGTGAAGTCACCTGTCTGCCGGCAAGTGCCTCCATTGACACAGGGGGAGGGTGCACAGGGGACATAGACACTGTCACAATGTTGGCCTGTGAATCCCTGTGGGCACTGGCACTGGTAGGAACCAGGCAGGTTGAGGCAGGTGCCACCGTGCTGGCAGTGTCCTGGAATGTCACACTCATTGATATCGGTTTCACACTTCTGCCCTGTGAAGCCTGCAAGGCATCTGCAAGAGAACTGGTTGGCCACAGTGGTACAGGTGCTTCCATTTGCACAGGGATGAGACAGGCAGGCGTCAGTCCACTGGCACAGCTTACCTAAAGGAAAGATAACAGAAGTCAGTATTGGTCACAGAAATAGAGGCCAGCCCCATTCTCAATGCCACTCCCCATTTTCCCCATAGGTGACATCATGGAGCTCTTGGATGTAGAGTCTAACCTCTGAACTTTTTACAGAAGGCCAAATCTAAGGCTTCCCAAGACCATCCTCTGTTGGATGAAACACAAAGAATCAGTGGATAGTGCACAGGAAGGGAACTGTAGGTTCATCACATGAAACTCAGTCCTGCAGAATTTCAGCAGACCCTGTGGCAAACAAGGGTCTGGAGCAATCTACTATCTCACATCTTCTAATCTTTGCACGTGCTGCTGCTCTGTTTGAAATGCCATCTTATTTTTGTTTACCTAGAAAACTCTCACTTATCTTGACAACTCCACTCAAAAATCACAACGTCTAAAGTCATTCTTAATGCTCCCCTGCCCCCCAACACACACCAAGTTTGCTGTTTCCTTCTGTTGTATTCCACTTGCCACATTGGCAAAGGTTAGGTCCCTATAATATCATGGCCACAGAATGAGTAAAATGCATTGGTATTTGCCACAATATGCAGTAATTAAATTGACTTCTTTGGTGATTAAAAACAGTCCAATACTACTTCTATGTCCTTTAAACACAATACAAACACATTCTGGTCTGGGAAACATTAATCGTTGTCTCATATATTGCTTGATGTGTCTGAAGATGCTGAAGAACCTCTGGCTCTCCATGAATCAAAACAAATAGAAGCCAATATGACAGCAGAAGTCCACTAAGGTAACACTGGGCTCTCTTAGGTAGGAAAGAACAGCAGCAAGAAGATTCTGACATGCTGGACCCTAAGGAATGACTCTAAGGGAAGCAAAGCAGCTTCTCTGAGGCAGAAAAAGAGAAAAAAAAATGCTCATGAAACTAGTAAATGTGGTATTCATGTGGCTTTATTTTCATTAGCCTAAGCCTTTTATTTTTTAAATTAAAAAGATGAAAACTCCTTGAATTTGTTAATATTCCAATTGGCTGTCTAGGAAAAGCTCCAAATCTCTAACCCCCATAGAAAAGCAACTGAGGGCCACGAGAACGTTTTTGCCAGAGGACAAGGGTGCATGTGAGCAGACAGCAATGCTCTCTATCAGGAAATGTCAATCAAAGGGGAAAGGCACAGTGCAAATGTGGGCACAGCACATAAATCTAGGGGTGCAAAGCAGGGTAAAAATGAAGGTGCTGCAATTTTTCTTCCTATTTTTTCACTCATTCCACTAAGAGGTATTTACTTACAGTGGAGAAGAAATAAAAATGCTTACTTCAGGTAACCATGGATATCATAGTGTTTGCCCACAACTGAACAAGAAAGGTCCCTGAACTTGGTTTCCCATGCATGTTATGTGCAGGCACTAACTTGTTGCTTCTGCTCCTTCATCTATGAGTGGAAATGAGCTAGTAAGGTCTATGTGAGGTACAGGACTATCGCAAAAACCAAAAGAATGAACTTAACCAAAGCGATAGACAACAGTGGCAAATGTAGAAAGATGATCAGAACCAAGAACACCAAGAAGAAATCCTTTCAAGGGCAAAAGAAGTAGTTTTAATCGGGGACTAGTTCAGAGTGACATTTTGATTATGAAAAAGACATTATTGGCATTTCCACTACTCAAAAATAAAATGTTTCTTTTTTTTTTAAAGGGCATGCCCTTTCTTTTGCCTTACGGTAACTACACAACTCAGAACTGACAATCAGGAAGAAATTACTCTTTTAACCACCGAATCTCCTCAGTGACTTACATCATCAATTCTACCATAATCATGATAGAGGTAATTAATCATCCTAATCAACTCTACCCCATCAACATCTTTTCAAGAAAAATTTGTAGAGCAAGTATTCCAAACTAACAATCCAGTCTAGTCTTCTGAACAAATTGTTCATTTTTGGCTTGTGAAATTTAGAGAACCACTGATGTAGTGCTTAAAACAGGGGGAAAAATAGAGAATATTTCTCCTTTTCTCATCTAATTTAGTAAGCACTACAGTTCACTTTGAATAAAGCCCAGGCTCATCTCTAAAGAACTCATAATCTGTTCAGGTATGGAAAAAAACCATTACAATAAAATGTGACATAAAAATAATAGAAACTTAAAGACAAATTGCCTAAAGCAGCAGTTCTCAGCCTGTGGGTCACTACCCCTTTGTAACAATGAAAATACATCCTGCATATCAGATATTTACATTACGATTCATAACAGTAGCAAAATTACAGTTACGAAATAGCAATGAAAATAATTTTATGGTTGAGGGGTCACCACAACATAAGAAACTATATTAAAGGGTTGCAGCATTAGGAGGCATTAGGAAGGGTGAGAACCACTGGCCTAAAGGAATCATAAAAGAGTCACTAAGATGCTGTTTTAAATAACACTGGGCAATCGCCATTTGTAGAAAAGTGTATTCCAAGCAACAGGATGTGCAAGTGGGGGCAATCTCAAGTATGACGCTTTTCAGGAAATGAGAAGAATCTCATCTGACTGGATATAGATGCTTGCAAGGAACCTGTAGATAATGAAAAATCATCGCACATTGTCAAAGCAGATGAGTTTGTTGGAAGATTTGCATTTATAATTAAAGATGTAACAGTATGATGGCTGAATGAGACAGGGAGAGAATAAAATCAAGAAAACCCATTCAGAAATAACTTCAGGAGTCCAGGTGAGAAACAGCATGGCCCTCAACTAGGGAGTGGCAGAGGACATGGAGAGGACAGATGAGAGGTAATTCAGAGGCTGGGCTGATAAAGATGAGAGGTACTGACAGATGAGACGGAATTCAGAGCCTGGTAAAGACAAAGGAGAGAGAGGTTCTAGTCGGGTATCTGGAGCGCATGTTGGTGCTACTTACTTCTATCAACATGTACAGTTGGAGGCACCTGTAGAATTTCTGAGATGAATATGCAAGGGATAGTTCAAAACATGAGCCTGAGTGTCAGGTGGCGCTACAGGAGAGACTATGATAGTCGTCAGCAACTGAGCAGATGGCGGAAGAGGAGGCAACTGAAGATGGTGAGACTCCCTAGGGAGGGCTGGGGTATGGCTCAAAAGAGGGCTCAAAACAGTGCTCCAAGGAACACAAAAACTCAGTAAGGTCAAGACAATGGAGAAGCAGCAAGAACAACCAAAGTTTAGAAAACCAGAAAAGCCAGTGCCCTAAATGTCTAGAGAGAGGAAATTCCAAGTGAGGAATCAAAAGCATCAGAGCTTTTCATCTGGTGATAGTGTATTTCTGAAACCATTCTGATGCCCATACTGACATACAGACTTTAAGCAGTCAAATACTTCTATATATCTTACCCCTTCTTTCTCCTTCTCCACCCATAAACTCTCAAAGGAAGTTAAGGATAGTTGTCTGGAACATTCCAGTTCCTTATCATGATGTTAAATGCGCACCAGAGTTGGGTGACCCTTAAAAGCCAGATACCAAGATCTAAAAGATGCTAAATAGAGGTACCTGCTAAGAGTAGGAAAGTCTAGGCTTGAGTTACCTGTGAAACCGACTTGGCAGGTGCACTCATAGGTATCCCGGCTGAGCATATGGCAGGTGCCTCCATTCAGGCAGGGGTGAGACACAAAGCAGGGGTGAGAGGTCGAATACTGGCAGTCCTCTCCCGTGAACCCTGGGGCACATCGGCATGTGGCTTTCCCCAACATGGCCTGGGCCACACAGGTCCCACCATTCTGGCAGCGGTTCTTCTTACAGGGGTCTCGATGTTGACAGTACTCTCCCAAGAAGCCCTCAGGACATCTGTATAGAAAAGAGGAAAATCCATGAAAACACTTGACTTCTTTTAAGTCCAAAAACTCACAGTAAGAATAACTAATAGTCTGTCCAAAAGAACATTAGGCAGTGAATCAAGAAACCTAAAAGTACAACCTATAAAACTTACCCACATACTTGTATGTCATTTTGATCTTCAGAATGTCAGAATACCAGGTGGCCAGAATACCAGGTGGTCTTCTACTATGGCCAGTGAGCCTGACCTTCACTCAAAGCAAAACACACTATAGCTGTTTTCACATAGGTGCAGGCTGGCACGGCATCACAGTACTTCTTTGTAGTGCGCTGCTCATACTTGTCTGCTTAAATTCATTTACTTTCTCATTTTGTTTTTTTAATTTTCTTTTTATTAAATCATAAACACATATATCATGTATACATGCACTTATGGGGTACAATGTGCTGATTTCATATAGAATTAGGAGCGCTTACACTTTCTCATTTTGACTAAGCTATTTGATAGGATTAGGATGTTCACATGATAATGCATGAATGTGACTCTCTTATCCCTTCCAATTTAAAATATAAAAGATATCACGTGCTTTTTCCCACTTAAACATTGAGAAACAAGTTCTTCTTTCTCTTGTTTCCACTGAAACATCACTTGCCCTGTGCCTCACTTTCTGGATTATAGGTTATACTACGGTGGCAAAGACTGAACAGACAAAAGGATGAAGGTATAAGAATGGGGACTAGTTCACAGGGCGATTTAAAGACCTGTTACTATAAAAGTAGTAGGCAGTTTTCTAATAAGTAAAAAGACATAAGATAACATAAAATATTTAAGATATCATATAAACAAACACCAAAGTGGAAGAAGGAAGCAATTCAAGAATAAAATCCTGTAACATTTTCCACATTGGAGTCTTGAGGAATCTGTGATTCATAAGATGTACAATTATCTCAAACTGTGTGTGATATTTATGACAACTGTCTCTTAACAATATCAAAAAGGCACTGGAAGTCTTAGTTTTCATACTGAAGAGGTAATTTTAATGGAACCTCTAAGAAGTATTTAAAAGGAACAAAAAGGGGGTTGGGCACCGTGGCTCACAGCTGTAGTCCCAGCACTTTGGGAGGCCAGGGTGGGAGGGTTCGCTTAGAGCGGAAAGTTCAAGACTAGTGTGGACAACATGGTAAGACGCTATTTCTACAAAAAATTAAAACAGTTAGCTGGGTATGGTGGCACATGCCTATAGCCCCAGCTACTCAGGAGGCAGGAATATCATTGAGCCCTGGAGTTTAAGGTTGTAGTGAGCTATGATCACATCACTGTACCCCAGCATGGGTAACAGAGTAGATTCTGACTCCACAAAGGGCGGGGACACAAAGCAAAGACTTGGACTCTAACTATCAATTTTGCTATTTGGCTGGTGCCCCAGATATCTAGTTCAACTTATTCCTTCATTTTACTTTTGGAGGATACAAAATCAAATCTAGAAGGTTGTCACCCCATTACCTCAAGGATAACACATATAAACCAGACTCTACATCTCCCCCTTAAAACCAGCTCTTATCATGTCTTCCCATGTCCAATCCCTGGTGTCCTGATTCTCCTAATTGTCCAGGCCTGAAGCACAGGAGTCATGTTTGCCTCCTTTCTATCTTTGCCCGTCATACCCAAGACCTTTCATTAGCTGTTGGTTGGCTAAGTGAGGTCTTCAGGGGTCACATTTACTGAGAAAAGAAAGAAGGCCAGATATTAGGGAACTAAGACAGAGCATGCCCAGAACTGAACAGTAGCTAAAATGGCTGGAGGCTGGAGGAGCAAACAGAGCTGGTAAGTAGCTGGTGTGGCAGTGAGATAACTAGCCACACCCTGCACACCCCTTCCCAGGGCTCTAAGAGGCGAGGTGGCAAAGCAAGGAGCAGCTGGGACCCTCAGCATCTTCACAAGTAGGTGAAGCCAAAGACCAAGAGGCAATGAAGCATTCACAGCACCAAAACCAATGACTGGCTGAGAGCAACAGTGAGGCATTTGTACCTCAGAAGGTCGGAAGGGCTTGTCTGCGAGACTCCTGGTGCCGTGACCTTGGACAAGTTTTGTATCCTCACTGACCATCCATTCTCTCTCATTTTACATAGTTGAGTGGGTTACCCATAATCACAGAATTGTTGTGAGAACTGAATGAAATGGAATATGTGAAAAATCTTAAAAATACTAAAATGTTTTGCAAGTAAAAAACATTTTTTTTCTCCTTTGTGCTCGTTAAGGAAAAATTGATGCCTTATCAAAATCACAGCTTGATTTGGTAATAGAATAGTTTGGTTTTTTTAGGGTAGAGGAGCAAGAATTGCCAATGTAGTAAAGGTAAAATTAACTCTGAGATATGTTATAAAAAGAAACATGTTATAAATCAAGAAATATGTTACAAATGGTATTAAAAACTATAACACAATTTTCATTCACAGTGTCAGTCCTTAGCCTTAGGCTTGGCTGATGACTTGATTCTCCCATATGGGAGTTATTCACTTTATAATTATAAATAATGGCAAATTTTAAACCTGGGTGGGCTTTGCCTAGCTTTGCTCCTGGACTCCTATACATAGTATCATCCCCTCCCCAACAGTATCACATGGCATCTGCTAACAGAATGCAAATGCATTAGGTTCCTAAGAAAACAAAAATGACACAATATGAAAAGTATCTGAAGCCAAACAAAACTATTTTTTAATTATCTGTTTCTAAAGTTGAATGTACATTATTGCACCCTAGCAAGCATGGAAAAATAAGTTTCAAGTAAAATATGTTTAAGAAACCAATAAAACTAGAGATTAGCAAAGTATAGCTTGTGGATCTAATTTGGCCCACTGCCTGTTTTTTATAGGGTCTGTGAATGGTTGTTAAATTTTTAAATGATTGGGGAAAAAAAAATCAAAAGAAGGGTAACATTGTATACCATTTAAAAATTATGTAAAATTCAAATTTCAGTGTCCATAAATACTCTCAGAACACAACCTTGCTCATTCATTTACAGACTGTCTATGGCTTATATTACACTAGACTAGGACAACAAAGTTGAGTAGTTGCAATGAGACCACACGGCCTGCAAAAATATTTATTCTCTGGCACTGTACAGAAAAAGTTTGCTAGCCTTTGAGTAGAGAATAAATAAAGCATAATTCTATAAATAGAATCCAATATGCTTATTAATAATGAGTTTATGCAAAGAATATTAAACTCATAATATAATATTCATTTATTCATGCAATAAATAGTTAAGTGCCCATTATGTGCCAGGCATTTTTCCAGTACTAGGAAAATCCTTGCACTCATGAAGTTTAAATTCTAGTAGGAGAAAACAAAAATAAAAGTAATAAGTAAAAGACACATGTTAAATGGAATTAAGTGCTGTGAAGAAAAAATAAAACTGGAAGGGACACAGTTGGGGATAGAGGTGTGGGCTGAGTAAAGAGAGATATTTCAGTTTTGAGGAGGAAAATCAGAAAAAGCCTCATAGCAAAGGCCACATTTGAGTTGAGACCTGAATGCAGTGAGGGACTAGTCATGCAGATATCTAAGGGAAAAGTGTTTAAGACAGAGGGAACAGCAATTGCAAAAGCCCTAAGATAGGAAACAGCCCTGGCATGTTTAAGGAACAAAGAGACCTGGAGACCTGTGGCTTTACCAAAGGCAGTAAGAAAAAGAGCAGAGGAAATAGATGAGACCTGTAACCAGAATGCAGACCCTGTGGGGCCCTTAGGCCACTCCGTGTAAAGAAAGATTTGGATTCTCCTCTAAGTGAGCTAATACTTAGATATGACATACAACAGGTTTACTCTCCTAAAGCCAATCTACAGAAATACATCTTTTCTTTATGTAGAACTAGACCTACCATTTATGTAATAATAAAGACTTGATGGGGCAGCACCTGTGGTTCAGTGAATAGGGCGCCAGCCCCATATACCGAGGGTGGTGGGTTTGAATCCGCCCCTGGCCAAACTGCAATAAAAAATAGCCAGGCATTGTGCCAGGTGCCTGTCCAGCTACTCAGGAGGCTGAGGCAAGAGAATCACCTAAGCCTAAGAGCTGGAAGTTGCTGTGAGCTGTGATGCCACGGCACTCTACCAAGGGCAACAAAGTGAGACTCTGTCTCTAAAAAAAAAAAAAAAGACTTGATTTCTCAACTTAAAATGTGTCACACATGCAGGGATGTCCAATCTTTTTTCTTCTCTGATGCACATTGGGAAAAGATTTATTTTTAGCCACAGATTAGAAACACTAACAAAAGCTGATGAGAAAAATAAAAAGGTCCATACATAATTTTCATGATATCTGACACCACAGATAAGCAAAAAAGTCCTCCCATGATCTACGTCTGGCCTGCAGGCTGCCGAATACCTCTTTACCTTAAAACATAGATAAGTCTCTTTTAACCTAGATTTTTCATTAAGTACTACTATTTCCTTTTCCAAATTCTGCCTTCACAACTAACCCTCTATGATTATAGCCTAATTTCACAGATATTTCTCTTTCTTTTCCATCTATTTACTTTGTACTTTTGCAACAAAACTTTTATTTTAATCATTGCCTAGAAACTATGTTCTAAGAGCAATGATTTTCCTGTCAAATTCAGTAAGACTACTGAAACCAGAGATTTCATCACAAGGAAATTCTCTCCACCAGGAGAGATTGTGGACCACTCCTTGCACCATTTTTATATTTTTATCCTTGGCCTCTGCCCTGTCCATCTCAAAGCCTACTAGTAAAGTCTTAGTTGAGAATGCTGATACTTCTTCCCCCTCAGTCACAGCCATCTGGAAGTATTCAAGCCTAGGCTGCACTGCGCTTTGCTCTCACACGCACTTGCTCTTGTCATTGTTCACTGAGTTTTAAACAACTACCTTCATGTAAATGACTCCAAAATATTATGAAAGCCATCTGTCTCCCCTAATATGTCCTACCATTATATAAAGCTAAACACTTGGAAAGGGAGATAGTTTTCCCATGAAACTTTAATTCCTCC